TAGGACAGCCGCCTCGCCCACGAAAGCCGCTGTCAAGGTAACGAAAAGCCACGCAGCGCTGGAAAGGCTAGAACGAATACAAGAGACCCAGTACCCCGCCACTGCAGAAATCCACAATTCGGTCACCAGGTCTGGCCTGATTTGTCACCACATAAACCAGGTTGTTTAACTGCTGCTGCTTCCTCAAAGCCCGATCGTTGGACATTTTACCTGAGAAAGACAAGAGACGAGAATCATTCCGCGTTTGAGGGCCCAGCACTGAAAACATGCTTACCGCATGAATAAAACCTAACAGAAAATCTCTTCTCTCTACCCCTCTCCCAGAAATGTGAAGACTACCTAAATCTGCTTGTATCTCCTTGGAGAGAAATGATCTTTGACAAGTAAAAACATTTTTCTTATCTAACTGGCACATCCTTGAACTTTTAATTCCTCTGGTAGAACACTTGGAACATAGGTGTCACACGTCTGAAATATATCAGTGGTTATTTAGGGAGAAATTGGATTTTCCCATTCCTCCTTTGAAGTTTCTTGTCCGCATGAGTCAGACTAGAAATTTAATGCAATTAGAGATTAAAGATAGGGCATTTCCAAGTACCAAATGCCTTGGGCCTAGAAGCATGAAAACAGCTTAACTTTCCTTTAAAAAAAACTCCAGAAAAATGAATGAAGTTATTTATTTTTACATTTTTGAGTGTGCTTTTTATAACAGCATGATTAAGAAAATGTAGGACTAGATTTCAGTGATAGAGATGAAAGGGAAAAGCCAGATAATTTCTATGGCTTGATCAAGAAGGTACACATACCAAGGTTTCCCTGCTTTGTTTCCGCTAAAAAAAAAAAAAAAACAGCATGACTTTTTTCTTCTTCTCTTTTCTATATTCCTTCTTATGTCCCTAATTTGAATAAAAGCATTTGGAAAATTTTATTTTAGGGGGAAAAAAAAAGATGTGGATTAAAAAAGACCTTAAGAAAATGCTTCATTCTCTCATAATTCAGAGCTAATATTTTTGTATAAACGCATTCCCAATCACACCCACACATTCAGGCTTTGTAGACAGAGCGCATGCTCAGCCTTCCCACTCAGCACATGGACACTGCGTCTACAGTGTAGGTATCCTCTGCCTCCATACGCCACAACTCCTGCAACCCTCTCCTGCTGTCACGATGTGGGCACCACTGCAGCTGAGCAGAGTTTCACACTCTTAACGGTCTAACACGGCTCCCTGCAATCTTAAACATGAGCATTTACATCAGTCTGATGGGTTCAGCTGGGAAGATAGTTTCATGTTGCTTTAAAAGAGCTATTTTCATTTTTCTCTATTAATATAACTGTGGAAAAGTTAAGGTCAGCAAGAGCCCCTTGATACCGCCTTTATGGATAACCACGCCTGTCTGAGGTCTTCACGACGGTTTTCAAGCACAAAGCGAGGCTGAAGGTGAGCGCCTCTGTGCCCTCCACCTAGACCTCTTGCTAATGGCGAGCCGCGCTGCATCCACACCCCCCTGCATCCACACCCCGTTCCCCCAACCCGTCTACACACAAACCCACCTTCTGAGCATACGAGTGTAGCTGTGCTTTGGAGGAGAAGTAGAAGGGTGGGTAGTCGGAGCGCAAAAGGGGAAAGACCGGCCGCGCCTCATGGGGGAGCTGGGGTCACCAATGGTGTCTTTAAAAAAGTGGTGACCCAGCAAGGGGATCATGCTTACTGAAATAAGCCAGAAAGAAAAAGGATACCGGATGGTTTCACTCATAGCAGGAGCAAAAAGGACCAGGGGGTATAAAATAATAATGAACAACTATATACCAGAGACATTTTATGGGGGGGGGGGCAGGGAGGATTGGGGAGTGGGATCAAAAATGGGCAGGGTGGGGAGTGCACTGGACTATGGTGATGGCACAAGGGTGAATTAGTGATGGGAGGTCTATGGGAATTTTACAAATGAGATGGATGGAAAAGGCACAAAATGATGTAAAAATAAACTATTATATATATATTAAAAGCAGTGACCCAGCAGGATCAGGAACATGAGCACTTCCGGCTCTGCCCTGCTTGGGAATCTCTTAACAATTTTTAGGCCGAAGGATTTTCATTAAAGAGAGCCAAGAAGAACTATGCCTTGTTAAGAGCAAGGAGTTAAGAAACTAACATTTCTAAAATGAAGTATCTGATAGCAAGGTCTGTACCATATTTCCATGACATTTAGAATTAGCTAACTTTCTAACAGGGAGGCAGTGTGAAGATATTTTCACTGACAGTTTTGCTAGAATACTATTAGAAAGCACAATAATTAACTACAAATTCAAAATGTTAAAAGAGGCCAACGTATCCCTCTCTAAATTGGGGACTAACAACCCACAAATACCTTAATCACTCAGCTAACAATTGCAACCAGCCAGTTCGGCCTACACAGACCAGTGGAGATGAAGCAAGGGGCACAGGACCTGTAAGCACCTGGTTCTGCCCTGAATGAACTAGTCCTGTATACGCAGAACAGAACCCTTGAACTTGGAGAACTTGTTTTATTAACTGCACTGTACAATAAGCTTTTAGTGGCATTTTAACAGCAATGACTTACAAAAATCCATATATTTCATCAAATCTAAAATGAACAGCAATAATTTCTGTAAACACAGTGCTCTGCAATTTATTAAGCATTTGCTTATCTGCAATCTCATCGACCCTCAGCACTCAGCAAACTTGTCAGGCAGATGACTGGGTCCTTCTTTTCAAATGAAAACACTGAGACTTAGGCGGTGGCTCAAATGTAGCACTAGCTCCGACAGTGTTGAGGTGTGAGACAAGACTCTAAGTAAGGATTCTAACTGCAGTTTCAGTCTTCTCGCAATAGGATCTACCGTTTCTCAGAGGCTCTGATTACTGCGATTTCGTAACAGCAGAACTGGTGCCCCATTAGGGGAAAGTTTAAAGATGCCAGGTGCTTTCTAGCAGGGGCTTTCCCGAGTACCTACATCTTAGGAAAAACATGTACTTCTTCATTATCAGTCACCAAAAAAAATGTACTTTATTCCCGTTTTCCCTCTAACGAAGGTTTCCAAGAGCAGGCTTGTGAGCATAGCGCACACATCAAGTCCAGAGCCTGCGCACTCTGTATGAACCTAGGGCGTCACTGGGAGGTGGCACCCGTCACTCTGGGTAGTGAGGTGATCTTTCGCTGCCACTCTGTCCAGAGGCCATATCCCCGCCCAGGGACTGGAGCAACCTTTTTCATTTTATAGAAAAGTGACATGGGGAGGCTGAGCAATCAATGTGTTGCAAAATTGGATTATCCAGGATAAAAGAAAGGAAAATGGATTGGGAAGATCTTTCATGCTACGGTAGAGCAGCTGCTGACTTAAAACAGCATGAACTTTCACCTCCCGTATCTATTCTAGGCTGTCTTTGATGAAAACCATAACTAGAAAATAGGCAAAAGGCTGGGTGGAAGGACAAAAGTTGAAAGCACAGTCTCATTGTTTCCCAGTCAAAACTTCTGCTTTGTTCATGTGACAGCTTAGATATGGTGAACGGTGGACTTATTCTTTATGTTTTTCTCTAAGATTTCTACTTGAGATTATCAGAACCCAGAGTTAGTAAAAAACATACCTTTTAATTTCATTCAACTATGATTTATACCAGACAAAATAAAGATAAGTTCGCTCTGCAATTTTGTTTAAAAAAAATGAGAAAGTTCAAAATATCTTCTAAGTTGCCCATAAGATCAAATCAAAATGTTTTAGGACAAAAAAAAAACTCAAGTCTAAGAAGCAGTTAGGCTATTGATTTCTTCTTTTTCTTCAGAGGTTTCAATTAATAACAGTAAGGAATTTTAAGTCTCATTAACTGTTTGTGATCATTTACGTAATCCTCAATTTGGCTTCCAATTTCATGTGTAACTCAACATTTGGGTTAAATAATACTCAGTAACCCAAAATAGTAAACTAAAGTAAATCAATATCTAGAAGCAAGCTACTTTAAAATGTAAGTTCCTTGCATGCATTCAGTATTCTAATCTCTACAATAACCTGACTCACACAGGTTTTCTTGTGGTGTTTAAAATATCTTTTATATTGATGAAAATAATGAAAATGGTGACTACCTAAGGAGATAAGGCCCCAAGTCTTCAATAATATTAACACCATGTCACTACACAGCACTCCTGCAAAGAGGTGGCTTCCTTGCCTCTGAGCTCTATGGCGCTTCACAGGTGAAATAGGGACCATGCCGAGCTTGCTGCTCTGGCAGCTTCCTCTTCCGGTCCTTCCAGACGCTTGCTCTTGAAACACAGCAAGCTGCCTTAGAAGACAAGCCTCCTCCAAGAGGCTGTGCACCGGCAGGTTTGCCCAGCAAGCCCCACCTGCATGGAGGACTTGTGAGTGAAACCCCTGTGTTTACCGGCCCTCAGCCCCGCGCCCGTTACCTGTGTGGCAAAGGACCACCAGTGAGCAGGACATGCTAAGGCCAGGTGCGCAGGGACTGCCATCAAGGAACGGCACTTAGAGGGCGCTACCAGCACTGGGCCGGTGTCGGACGCCACGACAGGAACCAAAGCAGAGAATGGCGACTGACCTAAGCTGCCGCTCCGGGGCCTCCAACACAAGAGCAGAGGGCCTGCAGCGACCTCAAAGCCAGCCCTTCCGCTGTAGTCAGGACACTGGCTCAGGGCCTAGCCAGGCAGAGGGAGGCAGGAACTCACTTCGCTTAAACTGGGATTTTGAATCACCTCTCTTTCCTCTGAGTTTTTCATCCTTTATCTCTGATTGCTTCATTCTTACCTCTGTGGAATAGTTCATTAATTCAGCAAATGTTTTCTAAGCACTGACTGCATATCAGCCTGGCCCTGGTAAGGTGCTGGGGTACATGGGGAACAAGTAAGAGTCTCACATTCCAGTGCACGGAGTTTAGCAACAAAAAAATTAAATCAGGTGATAAAGGACAAGAGGGTGGGGTCCAGGAGACTCTGCCAGTAGATTGTGGGGGCTCTGGTGATGGGCATGGCATGCTGAGATGCATCTGAAGGAAAGTTTTGTAAGTCATTACCTCAAGAAAAAAACTTCTTTGGCTTCTATTAGCTTAATTTTATAAATATGTGATGAGTTCTTTCTTTCAAGTTGATAAAAAGAATCAGAACTTTCTTCCTTCATTAGCTAATGGAAAATAGTAGATTTCCTAGAGGATTATATGGGATATTAAAATAAATACTGTTGT